CCCTAATTTCACAGACTAATAGGCCTTAAAGTTGGAAGGCATCTTAGCAGCAACAGACAATTCCAGTCTCTTAGCTGCTGTAGTGATTCTTGGTAATATCCGGGGCAGACAACCCTCCTGACACTGTTTGAACACTTCCATCATGGCTAACTTTCTGTCTTACTAGAGTAAACTTACTGGTACACAGCTGTAGTCCTTAGAATGTAGAGTCAGAAATTTGGAATTCCTAATATTCATCCTTTGGGCCCTCTCTTCCTTGATTGGTTTTCTGTTTTTTTCCCTCTTCTGGTTAACACTAGATGGTAAAATCAAATGTTGTCTGAAAAACAAACAAAAAACAAAAACAAATGTCTGAACCTTGATGCTAAAGAGGGTCTAAGGGAAATCCAAAAATAAAAGGTAGAGTGAAATAAAGAACAACAAAATGAGAAATTCAGAAGAAAAATAGGAAAGGGTTGCACATGGTAGGGAGCGATAGAAAATCTTGGGTTATGTATCCTTGAATAATTTTTTTTTTAATCATCATGGGCCAAAGAGGAAAAATTAAGCCCCTATTATAGTGGACCTGAGGTTTGTTTGCATCTTGGTTCTACCACCTAATTATGTTACCATGGGAAGCATTAACCTCTCTGTCACTTTTCTCAGCTATAAAATGGGGCCAGACCTATTTGTTTTTTCCTTTGGGTAGAGATTGATGTGAAGACTGGCACATAGTAAATGTTCATTAAGTACATTTCACTTTTCAAGTCGCTCTGTGAATATTAAGTAAGTACGTGAGGATTAAGAGCTTTATCCATTTTGTTTACTCCTTTATCATCACTATCCAGAATGTCACACGGTGATTGGATGCCCATAAATAACTTAGTGAATGAATAAGTGGACTTTTTTTGTCATCTCTTCCCTTCAAAACATCTCAGATCCAGCTATCGTGAGACCTTATTGTAACTCAAATTTGAATAAAGCACAATTGGCAATTGGTCCTTATCATCTGCCTGGTATTTTTTCTCAAAGAAGAGTCAACTGTAGTGCTTATTTTCAAGGGCAGGAATCCATGAAAGGAAGGGCAGATTTGGCAGCGATTCTGGACTCCTAGCCCAGTGTCCCTGGATCAATCCAGTAAATCATTTGCCATCTAACAAGGAGATTTCAGAATATTCTGCTGCCAGAAAATGGATTTGGATTGCCCAGATGGGCATGGGGATTGCTAGTTGTAGAGATTCACCTTGTCCATTTCATTAATATCTATTTACCCTACCCGTAACTAGACCCCACATTTTACACAGTCAAATTTCTCAGACTCCAGTAATTGCCTCATGGCCTCACTTCTCACCGTTTCACCACTACTCTAATTCAGGCCACTTGGATTACTGCAGAAACTCCCCAGTGATCTTCCTCTCTTGTTGTCTTGTGTTTGTTTGATCTAATAACTGCAAACAAAATGATCTCTCTAAAAACTAAATCACATCATGTCATTCCCCTATTTAAAATTCCTCAATAGCTTCCCACCTGGGAGACCGATATATTCAAAATCTTTCTTAAACACATCATACAGTATGATGTCTTTTTTCTGCAGTGAAAGCTGCACCATTGTTTTATGTACCACTAAGAAAGAAAACATGCTCCAGTTCACTGTCACACCACAGAGGTTATGAGACATATCTGCTTTCAGAAATTCTAAGATTTAAAAAGAAAAGTATACATTGGAATCCATGAAATGCATTTTCTTCTTGCCATATAGTAATAGTTAGGACTTACTCACTAATACATTGGCAAATATAATAGAAGTGACTTATTTCTGTCTTGAAGGAGAATTCTTAAGTTTCACTATTAGATATGATATTTACTCTGGGGTTTTAGTTAAATATAAGGTTAAAGATGTTCCCTTCTATGCCTGGTTAAGTTGTTTGTTTCTAAATCCATAATAGATAATGCTTTTTCTGCATCCTCTGGGATGACCATGCAGTTATTGCCTTTAATCCATTAATATGGTAAATTACATTCATACGGTTTTCTTTTGTTTTTAATGTTGAACCCTCCTTGCAGTGGGACCAAACACTACTGTCAGGATTTTTTTTTTTTTTTTCATTTACTGGTAGATTCCCCTTGCTAATACTTTGTCTTTTTTCACAAATAAGTTTGGTCAGTAATCTTCTGTTTATATATTACCTTTATCCTGTTTTGTTATCATGATTATATTAGCCTCAGAAGACACTTTTAGTCTCTGGAATAGTTTGTATAATATAGGAATTATTTGTTCCTTGAAAGTTAGTAAAAGTCAGCCAGGCTCGGCAGCTCATGCCTGTAATCCCAGCACTTTGGGAGGCCGAGGTGGGAGGATTGCTTGAGCCCTGGAGTTCAAGACCAGCCTGGGCAACATGGTGAAATGCCGTCTCTACAAAAAAAAAAAAAAAAAAAATGCAGAAATTAGCCAGGCGTGGTGATGCAGACCTGTGGTCTCAGCTACTCAGGAGGCTGAAGTGGGAGGATCGTTGATCCCGGGAGGCTAAAGTTGTGGTGAGGCAAGATCACACCACCACACTCCAGCCTGGGTGACAGAGTGAGACCCTGTTTCAAAAAAAAAAAAGGTAGAAGTCCGTCTGTAAAACTCTTATTCTGGTGCACTGAACTGAGGCTGGATGATTGATTTTTTGTTTGTTTGTTTGTTTTTGTTTTTGTTTTTGTTTTGAGACGGAGTCTTGCTCTGTCGCCCAGGCTGGAGTGCAGTGGCCGGATCTCAGCTCACTGCAAGCTCCGCCTCCCGGGTTCACGCCATTCTCCTACCTCAGCCTCCTGAGTAGCTGGGACTACAGGCGCCTGCCACCATGCCTGGCTAATTTTTTTTTTTTTTTTTTTTTGTATTTTTAGTAGAGATGGGATTTCACCATGTTAGCCAGGATGGTCTCAATCTCCTGACCTCGTGATCCACCCAGCTCAGCTCCCAAAGTGCTGGGATTACAGGCGTGAGCCACCATACTCGGTCGGTTGGACGACTTTTGACTATCATTTCAATTTCTTTAGTAATTTATTATGCTATTTAGATGTTCTATGGAGCTCTGGATTGAGTGAGCATTTTAAAATAAAGTACAAATTACCACAATTGGCCCTAGAAAAGGTCAATAAATATATCAGTAACTATGGAAGAAAGACATTTGTCACAGGACTGCCTCTAAGAAATGTACAAAATGCAGATAGTGTCACTGTTGCTTCAAATCCTCACACAAATAATCCTACATTATGTAAATTGTTCTAGAGTTGTGTAAAAGAAGAAACATTTCCTTAATAACTTTATAGGAAGAAAGCGTAACACTGACATAGAACCTGATAAAGAAAATGCCTCAACCCTAAACCATTATCATCTGTAAATATTTATGCATATGTCTTAAATAAAATATTAGCAAATAAGTTCCGGGTGAACTTAAGGTCTAAGTCAGTGAAGTGCATTTTAAGAATGTGTGGATGATTCCATATTTGGAAACCTCTTAACAAAATTCATCTTATTAATAGTGCAGGGTAGATAACCTTATGGTTATCTTAGTAGTCATAAATATAACACAAAATTCAATATTTGGTGAATGTCAGTGTTCATTTCTGGTTGAAATTCTTAATAAAATAAGAAAAGGAAACTTCCAAGCATCGAAAGTATATATCCCCTGTTTCATCTTATATCCCAAATCAGCAGCTTTTATATACTTCTAATGTTCTAGCACCACTGTTATTTAACAGTGTTCTGAAACAGTTCTGGCTCAGAAATAAACAGTCATGGTACGGGATTGATTAAGTAAAACAGGACAAATGCCATAGTGCTATCCAACTGCTAAACCAATTTCTATATGTATACAGAGAGAGAGGCCAAGAGATTTATTCACTGTTGAGTAAACAAAAACAGGAATCAAAAGAGCCTTGATAAGATGTTTAGATTACATGTAAAAAATGTAGATTTAGAGAAATCTGGAACTGTGTCCAACAAAATGTTTATAATGATCTAACTTTGTGAGGTAGGATTTCAGGTAAACTTCACTTTCTGTATGCCTTTCTTTTGATTTTCTATAAGAAATGTTTATTTTTGTTTAATTTTTAAAGAAATGTTGCTGATAGCTTTCAGGCGTAGACTAGAAGCTAGAAACTGATCATAGACAATTAGGGGCATCTCATGGGAGGTATAGAAAGTTCATTGCGGGCCTTCAATCATGCATGAGTCCCATCCCCTGAACCCCCAGCCCCAGAAGTTTTTACTTAAGAATCACTGCAGTAGTGAATCATTGTTAACAGATTATAGTGTGAGCTGCCATCTTAATTTTCATTATAATGTATTTATGACTTTTATATATCAAGCATCTTGTTAAAGCCTTTCATGTAAGTCACTTTTAGTCTGTCTGACAACATTAGATTGTCATTATTTTTATCCATATTTTTATAGATGAAGAAATGGAGGCTAAGGTTACATAACTAATAGCTAGTGGCATTCCTGATTTTTTCAGCTTTATTCTTAATCACCTAACTGTATTTCCTCATTTTCTGAAGAAATCCATCATATTCCTCAGTATTTAGGGGGAGAAGAAAGTTGGTGAACTACCAGTCTGAAGTCTCCTGTATCTGTTGGAATATAGAAGTTATCATCATAGTATCAGATACAGTTTATTTCAAAAGACTGAAACATATTTTATTATAGCAGAAGGATTAAAGTAGTGAAAATACAGCAGAGAACTAATAGTCTCTTCAGTTTGCCAATTGTACAAAAAGAAATAGAAATGTGTACCTTGACTCTTTTTTTTTTGAGACGGAGCCTCTCCCTGTTGCCCATGCTGGAGTGCAATGGCACGATCTCGGCTCACTGCAACCTCCACCTCCCGAGTTCAAGTGATTCTCCTGCCTCAGCCTCCTGAGCAGCTGGCATTATAGGCTCACACCACCATGCCCAGCTAATTTTTTGTAGTTTTAGTAGAGACTGGGTTTCACCATGTTGGTCAGGCTGGTCTCAAACTCCTGACCTCAAGTGATCCACCTGCCTCTGCCTCCCAAAGTGCTGAGATACAGGCATGAGCTACAGCTACTGTGCCCGGCCACACCTTGACATTTTCTATCAGATTATGACAAAAATTTTTAAATAATGAGCAAAAATTATAGATTACAGCAATGTAATTTAATAGGTTACATGGCATTTAGGGATATATAAGAGAGTATATTTTTCAAATAACCACTCAAAAATGTGTGTGTCTAGGAAAGTTCAGTGTGTACTAGAAATAAAGATATGCATGGTAAGTAATGACAAAGGCACAAGTCTATATTAATCTCAGAACATAATAATAGAAAACTAAAAATTTTATTGTTAGCATAAGTTGAAAAATGTGCTATTTAATACAGAGTTTGAAAGTAGAGACTCTTGAGTGAAATGTATACATTCATTGCGAATTAAAACACCCCAATATTAGAATAATGTGGAATTGTACAAATAGGCAGAAACATATTGCTTTAAACCAGTTGTTTGAAAGGCACATTAAAACAGAAAAACTTTTTGAACATATTAGAAAAAGAAATAATAATAGATCATAAAAGCCATTTAGAAAAACACCAAGACTAACCACAAGTCAGACCACAAATGATGTAGTTAATTTAATATACATGTACACAGTTTGTGTGTATAAACGTATTTTTTAAAAGTTGAATTTTATTAGTAAAGTTATACATTGAAATGTAGGAGATGCCATTTCTCCTATTAAGTGGTAGTGCTCCGTTGTTGACAGTGCACTGACAGTATAATGCAGCAGTTCAGAGGGCGGATTCTGGACCCACACTCCCTGTATTTGAACCCTAGCTCTGCTACTGATGAGCCAGTATGAACTGCTGATATGAACTCTCAGTTCAGCTGAGGCCTTTCTGGCCTTAGTCATCTCATCTGTAAAATTAATCTGTGTAGAGGACTTGGCACGTAACTAACATTCATGTTGTTGTCAAACCATTAACTCCCTTCAAACCTCTTCAATGAAATTTCCTTTTAAAGATGAAAGGAGCATTTTTTCTGCAACTAGACCCTGCACTGTCTGGCCCCCACCTATCTTTGCAACCACGTTTCCTACCAGTGTTCCCCGGTGAATTGTGCCATACCCACAAATGCCTTCTTGAATAAACCCAGGTTTATTCAAGAATAAAACCAGGTATCTACCACTTCAGAGCCTTCTTGTTTTAACTTCTGTTTGAAAAGTTCTTCTGTCCACACCTGCTTAGGTACCACATACATAAGTAACCCTTTCCTCTGGCTAGTTCCTTCTCATCCTTCAATCCTTAAACGTCACCTCAGAGAGACCTTCCCTCACCATCCTGTACACACTAGTTGCCCCCATTATTCTAATTCTCTTTTTCTTTCATTGTACTGATCATAATTGGTAGGTTTTTTTAAACATGTATTTGTTTGCATTTTCTAATGTCTGTCTTCCTTACGTGATAGATTACTCGTTTTGTTACCCACTATGACATGCCGAGAATGATACCTGATACATAATTGGCCTTTGCTGTGTTGGATGAATGAAGGAACACTAACTGCTGGAACATAATTACAGCCTTTCTAGAAAGCAATAATTACCAAGAATTAAAAAAAAAAATCATTCCTTTTGATATAACAATCTTTTAACAAACTTTCTTAAAGATATTACAAAGAGCGGCGCAGTGGGGGCAGCACAGCGAGCAGGGCGCCTGGGGTGCAGGTGCAGGGTGTCGGGGCGTGCGCGCCTCTTGGCTGCTCGCTGACGGGGCCCCGAGCCGCCGATTCCTGCCGAGTGTAGAGAGGAGACATGTTGGTCTCCCTGGACTGAAGAGAGGGAGAAGCCCAAGACTAAGATTCTCAAAATGGTTTATTACCCAGAACTCTTTGACTGGGTCAATCAAGAACCATTTCCAAACCAGAACATGGAGGGAAGGCTTCCTAAGGGAAGACTTCCAGTCCCCAAGGAAGTGAACCGCAAGAAGAACGATGAGACACACGCTGCCTCCCTGACTCCACTGGGCAGCAGTGAGCTCCGCTCCCGAAGAATCAGTTACCTCCCCTTTTTTTAATCGTAGCACCTCCATTTGTATTACATACGGTGTATGGGTATTGATGAGGTCATGGTATCATATATGGGATTTTTTTCTGTGTAAATCATCAAGTATAAGAAGAAACTATGGGACTCTAAGCCTTGCTTTAGAGATTTTACCGTGGACAAATAGGTATCATCAACCCAGTTTTTAATCATTCTGACTCAGGTGAAAACGCTCAGAATTTCACACTGTCTGAATCCACGTTTCCAACCCTGACAGGTGGGCCTTCAGCCTGGTTCGCTACAACAGTGTCTTCCACAGCTCAGACTCCCACCGCACTCACACAACCGGTCCACTCCTGCCTTTTCACTCACACAGCTCCCGACTACTTGCAGAGGCTGAGTCCCCCCTTTTTTTTTCATTTAGATGTAACAAACCTAGTAGTTTATGTTCATCAGTTGTTTGTATAGCTCTTTATTTTATCCATGTACTCTTTTGATGTATAGAAGTAGTTTGAAACTCATTGTTTCCTTGTGGTAAGTGACTCAGATGCTGCCACAGGACCTGAGACACTGATGGGTGGTGCTATTTTGGACTTTCAACATGCTCCTTGGCGAGGTAGCGCCGATGGAGTTATTTTTTATTTCCATCTTCTAAGAAGGTGTTGGTACTCTGTTTCCCTGAATGTTGTTCTCTAGACTGGACTGACTTGTTTTCCTTGTGTCTTCAGCGTGGCTTTCTTCCTCAGTGTGGCAGGTTGAGCGACTGCTACCAGAGTGTGAGAGACGATTGTCTCGTTGACTGGCACTCACGGACATGCAGTCACGGTAGCGGGAGCAATCACAAAACTGTAATTTACTTACCAAATCTCTTCCTGTCCGTAGCCTCGCCTGCCTGACTTAGAGAAAGAAAAGCAATAATTTTACAGGCATTTTGAGGTGCCTCTTTGGGTTCTTTGTGTTTGAAATGATATTTGTGGAAAAAAAGAGCAAAACCTTTTTAAATAAATTCCCCCTGAAAAAAACCCAAAACACTAGCATCTGAGTAGGAATATGAAAATGACACCTTTTCCAAATATTAAATTGGAAACCAATGTCTTTACAAAATCATAATGCTTTTTTAAAAGGCAGAGCACTCTTTTTTTGGCAATTTTGATAAGCCAGGTGTATATTTACATTTTTGTCCTTGCTCCCAACGAAATGAATAAACAAAACTAAAATACTATCTACTCATGGAATGTTGTTGTGTTAGCCGGTCTGAAAGCCCACCTTAATTTTTATATAACTGTCTTTTAGCTCTTCTTTTGACAGAGCTGGCCTTGTTCTGAACTGTTTTGCTTCTGACTGTTCAACACCGATGACGCATGCACTGCACTTCTTCATTTTCTTCTTGCTCCCCCATTGGCCTGAGTTTCTTGTGCATTCCTCCGCTCCCTCCTTGGTTAGAATAGGTGTATCAGCTGTGTAAATAGAGCAAGAAAACAGTATTCTGCATCTGTAGCATTTATGTAGAGTTGCAGTTGTGTACTGCTGAAAATGCAGGCTTTTGTAACAATGTGATCTTTACTGATGCACTCATGACAAGTACCCAATGTGTTTTAGGTATTTTAGTAGTATTTGTTTAATAAATATGCAAGCTGTAAAAAAAAAAAAAAAAGATATTACAAAGAATGGTGCAATGGCCATCACAGAACTGATGGTACTAATTACAAATTATAAAATATTTACATGTCTAACAACTAGAGAATAGTTTCATTGAGTGAATTATGACACACACAAAAGGTGAACTGTTATGTAGTCATTAAAAATTTTTTTTGGTAAGTTTAATGTTTCAGTGTTACAGACAAAAGCAGACTATACAATAGTGAAAAATTACAGTGTAAATATATTAACAAAAGAATTTATCAAAAAAAAGTAAATTTGAGTAGCTAATTGTATTTTCTTAATTGTATTTGAAAATTAACTTTCCTACAAAAGCACATGTTATGTTCTAGAGGAGAAAAAAGATTGTGTGTGTTTTTTTAAGTATCAGATGTGTTAAAAAAATTTCATGAATAGACCTGGTGGGGTGGCTCACACCTGTCATCCCAGCACTTTGGGAGGCCGAGGCGGGTGGATCACGAGGTCAGGAGATCGAGACGATCCTGGCTAAAATGGTGAAACCCCATCTCTACTGAAAAAAAAAAACAACAAAAAATTAGCTGGGTGCGGTGGCGAGTGCCTGTAGTCCCAGCTACTCGGGAGGCTGAGGCAGGAAAATGGCGTGAACCCAGGAGGCGGAGCTTGCAGTGAGCGGAGATCATGCCACTACACTCCAGCCTGGGAGACAGAGCGAGACTCCGTCTCAAAAAAAAAATTCATGAACAGATTCATGCTATTATGAGAACTTATAAGAATCTAGAAGCTATTTCACAATAAAGAAGAGCCTTGCTCGTTATCATCAGTAATTAGAGAGAAGAATTTTCTTGCTTTAATTAAATTTTTGTTATTACTTGTATATTAAACTATTGTCTAGCCCATATGGATCATAGTATATTAAATGCGTATAAGAAACTTAGCATATTTAGTCCAGCTACAGCAGGTGGTAAATTCCTATTTAAGAATTGACATATATCACTAAAGATGTGATAAATAGGCTGAATATAAAAGCTCTTGTAAAAACACTCTTATAGAATGTGAAATGTAAATATAAGATTTAGTAGCAAGAAAAAAGCAGTATATTAGGAAAATGGCAAAAATAATTTAATATACCTTTACTATCTAGAATATAGAGAATCAATATGAGTATGTTAGCTTAATAACAAAAGTCTTGTCAATAAAACAAAACTATGCTTTTGGTTTTACAGATTGATTTTATTATACTTGATGGTGTTATTTCTATCAATGATAATGTTGAATTTACAAAATCTGTTAATACATATCAAAAAACCTTAAAAATGTTTATAATCTTTACCCAGCAATTTTAGGAATTTTTGATAGATGCATGCAGAAATGTTTTCAAGGCATTTTTTTTTTTTTAATTTAAGGATCTAGGAACAACCTCCTTAATGTTGAATAGGAAGTGAGCTATATAAATTATGGTAAATCCATGTCAGAAAGGTAATTTTGTAAAGATTCTATCAGAAGAGTAATTTCCAGATTAAAATTTTAGTGATATAATACTAAATGAGAAGGATGCAAACAGTATATTTAGTTTGATACCTTTTAAATTTTATAAGGAGAAAAAAAGACAAAAAGATTACTCCAGAATGTTTAAAGTGATCATTGTTAGTTCAGAGATCATAGATGATTTTGTTTTCATTGTGCTTTTCTCCATTTTATGAATTTTATCCATTGAGCATGTATTACCTTTGAAGCTTAGAAAACAGAACACAAAAGTCTCTTGAAAACCCAAGGTGTACTGTGTTTTGGAGTTGATGAAGAGAGGATGGTGCCCAGCTTCACTGCCTGCTTACTGTCCAGGCTCACCAAAAGATAGCCTATCACTCTTAAGATATAGACACCCTTTTATATTGCAAATGGAAATGCAAAATGATTCAACACCTGGAGAAGTAAATTTGATGATACATAATAAATCTACCTAGGCATGTATCTTTCCACACAGTGAATTCTGCTTTTAGGAATTTGTCCTAAAAATATACCACAATAGTGTAAACATATATGCACAAAGTTAGCTCATTGCAGCATTGTTTCTTAATTACAAGATACTGGAAACCACTTAAGCATGCAAGCATACGACACTGAGTAAACTATGATATAAAATATGCACATAATGGAGCATCTATGGCTGTAGAACGGAATGAAGATGTCTGTAAACGGATAAAATATGATTTATAGGGGATATTATTACCTTTAAAAAGTTTTTAAAAGTCCAGGTTTAGAACAGTCAATCTGTTAGCATGATTTGATCTGATAATTCTACTTTTGAGATTTTATCCCAAGGAAATTATATGGTGCATGTATCAGGGCTTTGGGGGATGGGCAGGGAGCATAATTTTACCCTGGCAATGGGAACATCATTAGGGTTGCTGCCAAAAATAGGGGGTGGGAGTGGCATAAACAAGTGTCTGTTAATAGAAAAATACCATATAGTTAGTAAAAGTAATACACAAACATCTAGATTTGTCAAGGAAGTAATACTTGGGAAGATAGTACACAAAGCAAAGTTAGTTCTGGTATATTACCAAATCTATAAATTAGCATTGTTTAGAATAATAATTGGAGTTAGAGTGATTTTCAGATTTGAATGTAAGTTATGTTCACTTTTTAAATAAATCAAGTTAAATTCATAATAATGAAAGAAAGGAACTATTTTGAAAGCTAAAAGTTTTTTGATACTATCTCTGTGCCTTGATACTTCTCCTTTTAAGATGCATTTGGTCTCCTTGATGTTATTCAGCCTTCTAGTCTTTAACTTAGTTATCTCTTTTTTCTTACTTGACTCATTAGAATTTGTTTAAACTGTTATAAAATTTTACAGCTTTGCAAAAATGCAATTAATGAATCAGATATGAAAAATCCATTTCTATCTATTAAAAAAATACACACATATATTAATATGTGTACACATTCTTTATTAGAAATAAGTTGTATCTGTGCCCAGAAATTGAAAAGTGTATTTGTATTGCCATGCAGTTTGTGTACTGTACGTCCATGTTGCATTGTTAAGAAAGTAATATTACCTGTGCTAGGCTCTGCTACAAGAAGTAAATGATCTTTGTGTCAGTGAAAATAGAAGGTTCTGTCCCATATTGATCTAGCACTTAAACTACTGTGCTATGCCTCAGTTGCCTAAAGTAGGCAGCTTAAGAATTTTGTAATTTAAAAACTCAAAACCCCATAATACCTGCAGAAAAAGAAAAAAAAAAAAAACCTTGGATTTTAAGGATACTAATTTAAAACTAATCTGAACAATGTTTATTATTTTAAATACTTTTGATGATAGACCATTGATAAAAGACCATTTTAGTTTAACTTGTTCTTAATAGGAATAGACGAAATAGGGTTACTAGAATGGATTGGAGGAAAATGTGAAGGAGTTATAAAAAGAAAATGCTATCTTTTATTAGCACTATTACTCTTGTGAAATTCTTGTTTTATAAAATACCTTGATTTGCATTGAAGATGACAGTCAAAGAACCCCTTTCATTCCCCCTGAAATGGGACTTCTTAGGTAAGTCAAAAACTAGTTAATATCCCTATGATTTTTGAGTACTGCCAGTGTGTGGCACATTCTGAGTGCTCCCTTTATCTCCCAACAGAGGGTGCAGCCCCAGCTCTGTGGCTTTTGCATGCAAGATCTCAGTGAGTCCTGGAGGCACTCTGTTTCTCAGATGCCAGGCAGCCACGTCTGTGAAGCTCTCCCTTTCCTGAATTTATCTCACCCATTTAGTCTAGACTATGACCTCTTAGAGGGCAGGAACTGTTTGTTTGTGTCTCTGTTGATCCTCAGTGCCTCTTAATTCAGTAAACATAAGAATGAATGTATAGTATTTGAACTGTTTACCGTAGAGGATGAAGTTAGGTGTTTAACATTCATGTTGTTTTTATCAGGAAACAGAATTGGTTAAGAATTCTATGCTTTTTTTCCAATTTAAACAGAGGAAGGCAAGAAACAACTCTACTAGAAGTGGATAATTTCTCCTTGAGCTTAAAGGTGTTCGGCAGTAATACTGGAGTAAACTTTAGTATTAGAGGTAAAAAATTCATACCCCTGAAAAAAAGATGAAAAACTGTATTATAAAGATATCATCACTGGATTTCCAGATTTATCTCTATCACTTAACTCCTTAGAAGATTTCAGTAAAACAGTTTCTAAAACTTACTGAATATGTGTCTATTTAAGACTTTGCTGCCTGCTTTTGAATCTCATAGGACTTTTGAAATGTAAGATATGTGTCAGTCACTCCCTTCAGTGTGTATTGTACGAAATAATCATAGAGTAAGTAGAAAGTTTACCACCAGGCTGTGTTATTTGCATATTTGTGGAAGTTTAATTCTGGACAGATGACAGAGAAAAGCACTGACAATACAGTTTCTTATGGATCGTCGTCGTCTTTTAATGGAGAGATCCATCAAGAATCAACTTTTCCTGTTGACTCAAAATCTCCAATTTGCCTTCATACATTAGTAAATATCTGAAGACTTCATTTCACCCCTAGAATAAAGTTATTGCTGTTAACTTGGCAGATGTGCCACCATTCTCCACTTCCTATGTCAGATAACTCTGATAAATGCTGGCATTTTCTTTCTCAACCCAGTCCTTGTCCTTGTTCAAGATAGAGCTTTTTGAATTCTTTATTTTTCCATCAGAGTTGGCTCCTAAAACGAAAGCTATTTGCTATCCTTGGTGTATGCCAAAATCACTGGTGCACTCTCCTCCAGCATGACAGATGCTGGAGAACAGAAAGCTTCTGCCAGGATGGTTGTCCCTGCAATACAAACATCTGCTTTAGGAAATATCAATGAGTTTTTGGGAGTGCAGCAGCAAAAACAAGAAGAAAAGCCTGGGATAAATAAAACAACAATTAGATAAGGGAACCCATTGCTTCAAACAGTAGTATCTCATTGATTTATATCATTTTTCAGCTGGCAATCAAGGATGATCTATCATTATTTTTGTGCATGGCTTTGCTGTACTTGAAGATGTTGCCATGA